TACACGAGGGCTATCTGTGCTAGCCGTCCCTAATTTAGCAGTAAAAGGCTAGAGAGAAGACAGCCAGTCATCGCCACCCACCGCCAACGCTTAGGCTATTCTTTTACTAACGAATAGTGAGATTGACCATCACATTATAACCCCACCCTCCACGGCTGAAAGAGCGAGCATGTTTGGTGGGACGAGAATTCGAACCTGCGACCCTCGTATTGCGAATAGAGCGCCCTAACCAACCTGGTCATTAGTATAGGTGAATCCCTCGATGGCTTAGCGCCAAGTCTGAGGACTTGTAATGCTAGAAATTGGGCAAATCACAGATAGCCTATTGTGTAGCATAACAACAAACAACTGAACGATACAAAGTTAGATGATTCGTGGAACATTGCAATACCTTAAGCACTTTAATAGACACAAAGTTCTGTAATATCTATGTTATAAGTTATTGTGAATTAACAAAGGCTATTTGTTTAAATTATAACGAGAGAAGAAGTAGTACCAGAGGGCCACAAGGAATATTAAAGGTGCTGAAAACAGCCTAGGAGCTTCCGAAGAACGCGTTATTTCTCAGGAGTAGAGTGGGTTTCGGAAGAAGAAAAGTCAACTGCCTATTTAAACTGTCACCAACACCTGATAAGATATGAATAGCGTCATAAAATCAATTTAGAGTAATATAGTCTGTGTCACATGTCCTTTGATTTTTGTTCTTCTTCTTTCTTAAAACATTATGACACCATAGGAACGCAACAAATTCGAATTTTTTGGGGGTAACTTAATTGGTAGGTTAACCATAACCATTAAATTCAAAGTTGATAATTATACACAAGTCTCTATTCTCCATTCAAAGGGGCACTTCGCTAGAGAATGAAAAGGAAGGGGGGGGGTCACTTACACTGAAAAAAGAAACACGCACACACACACATATATAGTGTGTGTGTATGTGCGTGTTTAAAGCTGTGTACAGCTGATATCTACACGTCATAATTTTTTTGTATTTCTGCGTTAAGTTACCAGCTATTCCTTGTGGTTGTTACTTGAGTAAATATCTTGAAGCTACATTTCCATTTCCCAGCAGTGGACTATGGGTGTATCACTATATCTTCATGTACATACTCCTCCAATCATGCCAATCTCCTCCCTCCGCTGCATGATGTCGTGATGTGTTATTTTTTTTAGAATTTTTTTTTTTAAAGCAGTGTTCGATGGTGGCTCAGCGGTAAGTCTGGGGGTTTATAACGCTAAAAACCGAGTTTCGACACCCGCGGTGGACAGAGCACAAATAACACTTTGTGTAATTGTGCTTAGTCACAAACAAACGAAAGATAGCGATTAATTTTCATCTAAATCCTGCAAGGAATAATTAACTTATTATCATTATTATTAACAACTTTCCATCAGGGACCGTGGTTGTTAAATTATCATTACTAATATTAACAGCTTTCCATCAGGGACTATGGTTGTTAAATTATCATTACTAATATTAACAGAAAGCTGTTAATATTAGTAATGATAATTTAACAACCACAGTCCCTGATGGAAAGCTGTTAATATTAGTAATGATAATTTAACAACCATAGTCCCTGATGGAAAGGTTTAACGTTATTTCTTAGCTCTAATTGTCCCTACCCCTTATCTAAAAAGGCAGCTAGTCAACAAAACCCACCGTCAACCCTGTTCGCTACACTTGTCTGGCTGTACTCTTATGACACGTTCAGGGCCAAAAATTGAAAAACTCGTTTTTACGGCAACAGGACGCAAACCATGAACCATTTGATTCGCAGCCTCGGCACACTAACTACCAATCAACGACCGGATCCCAGAATGACAGTAAGAGTTAGGGAAGTGTCCATAACATTTTTTTTTTCTGTATTCAGAGTAGTTGCTAATATATATATATATTACAGACTTCATCTTTGAAGTGTCCCCCGATGGGTCAGTGGCAAGTTTACGGAATTACAGTGCTAAAATCCAGGGTTCATTTCCTCCAAATATACAGATAGCCTTTTAATTTGTGCCAAAAAACAATTAAATGAGATCTTTAAAGTACGGGGTGCACCAGAAAGATTATGCTAAAGAATCTTGAGCAAGAAGTAAACATACAGTTATAAAATTATATATTATAACAGTTGTGGAAGTAAGACACTTAATGCACAACATATTAATAATAAAGGCCACCCCCCCCCCCCAGTGGCACAGCGGTATTTCGGCGGACTTACAACGCTATAAACCGGGTTTCTATACCCGTGGTGGCCAGAGCACAGATAGCCCATTGTGTAGCTTTGTGCTTAACTTCAAAAACAAACAAACATATGTGGCATAGAACTTAATATTTAACTGAGTAAAGGTATTCAGTCTTGCTCCAGCTGATAGAGGACCCAGTCTGTTTGTTTGTTGTTAAACGCAAAGCTACAAAATAGGCTATTTGTGCTGTGTCCACCACGGATATCGAAACCCGGTTTTTAGCGTTATAAACCTACAGGCTTAGCGCTGAGCTACTGGGGAACAGAGAAGAAAAACGTAAAGAACTTGTAAGTTTCGTGTTATGTTCATTGCCGATCCGAGTTGCTGATACTGTTGATATACTTACAGTCCAAATTTTCAGTAAATTTTCATAGCAGACATTGCTCTTTGTAATGGGTATAATCTATGACCAAATAGTTAGTCACTTCTTGTAACTGTTCTGACAAAACAAAAGAGAAACATCCTGATAAAAATGTCTAAACACGAAGTTAACAACAAGCTTAATGGAAAGTATTTTGCCCAAATGTTCGTAAACAATAAAAACTTTTAGCTGAAATTTACTTTCAACACTATTTGACACGTAGGTCCTATTGTTACAAACAAATAGGTAAATTTGGGTTATTCAATACACTATTTGACACGTAGGTCCTAGTATTACAAACAAATTGGTAAATTTGGGTTATTCAATGCACTATTTGACACGTGGGTCCTATTATTACAAACAAACAGGTAAATTTGGGTTATTCAATACACTATTTGACACGTGGGTCCTATTATGACAAACAAATTGGTAAATTTGGGTTATTCAATACACTATTTGACACGTAGGTCCTATTATTACAAACAAATTGGTAAATTTGGGTTATTCAATACACTATTTGACACGTAGGTCCTATTATTACAAACAAATAGATAAAGTTTGGTCATTCAAATCTTAAGTCATTCAAAAGTTTTTACCAATCAAGTTTATCTCGGACATCCACCATAAAATGCATGTCTATACCACGTAGTCAGTCACCTTAGAAGATACTTTTACATCACGTAGGAAGCTTACTGTCATCCCCATATCATTAGCTCTCAGATTCATAGTGTAAGAAGATATGCTGTAATGCATATCGAAAAGTATACATCATCTATAAATGGCAGTTCTACTCGGACATCGAAAGATAAGTCAGTAGGTGGCGCGTGTTGCAATGTCTTTAAACAACCAGAAATAGTGATGATAAAAAGATTTAAAAATTTGGACTTAATACGTCGGTTCTTTTCACTCTCGACCAATCACAGATAAACAAGTAAGGTCGAGGTTAAGAAAAAAGAAATAACTAATACGATGGACAAAATAGGTTTGCTTTATAAGTAATAACACTCGTTTCTTAACAGCGGTATGACTGAGGTGTATAAAATGAATTGATTATATTTTTATTAGACATTTTCCTGGTACATTATCGATTTGCGGAAAACTCATTTCGTTACGTATATCCTTTCTAAAAATTGCTTTCAAACCTTTCAAACTAATATCTAATGTCATGGGG